CTTTCACAGGGGTATAAAGTGAGCCATTTCAGAGGCAGACATAGACAACCCATGACCAGCAAGGTAGGAGAGCCACCGGCAGAGCATCTGCAAGATCTCTCAGTGAAGTGGGGGTGGCCGCCCTGAGATACAGGAGAGGAACTGCTGGCTGACTGGCCCACCGAACAAGGAAAGCCAAGGGCCTTGGGGACGGAGGGTGGCTTGCAGAGTCGGTGACCTCTGGGCAGTGGTCAGTGCTGAGGGGGCTTTGTACCACTTGCTTGAGCAGGGCAGAGGCTGAGTAGATGAAAAACTGAGGGCCAGAGAGGTACGTGCCTAGGCATGATTGAGAAGAAGCGCCGTGGACAAGAGGATTGCATCCTTCATGTGTCTTTTGGTCAGCTGTTAACTTCTCTAATAAACCCCACAATCAGGAATATTGCCCATGAGGTCTGTGTGGCCATTGCAATGGGTTCTCAACTCCAGAAGACAAGCAGAGTGACGGGGGGAGGCGGTGTCAGAATAGGATCAATGGAGGAGGGTGCAGGCGTGTCTGTCTGCCTCGTGAGAATTGGCCTTGGGCAGACATGGAATTAGATTCCCCCGCCTTTCTGTAGCTGGAGGAGGCAGATGTGGTCCTTACACCATGTCTGCACCATGGCACACAAGTCCATCCTCAGTTCCTTTAATGTCAGGACCACCCAACAGAACATTTGAGTCCCAGAGCCCTTTACCTCCTGGCTCCTGTATTGGGATAATAATTGTCATTACCTGATTCAATCACAGACACTAGATGACTCCCATTCTTAGAATGGGAGCTTTCCTCCCTCACAGTCACTTTCTGCTAATTAGGATGCCTCCCCCATAGACAGGAGGGTGTGTACCTTCAGAGGTTGAGAACGCATTTTTAATCAACTGCTACCATGCAACCATGCTACCATGGCAACAATTGGGCCTCCAGCCGAGCGTCCCTCAAAGCTCTATGGTGTCTTGTGGGGAAACCCATTAGAATTAGACTCAAGTCATGTCATAGTTCAGCCTTGACTCCTGATTCCTAACTCACACCACCCTCTACCTTAGAGACTCTCCCACTATGCTTGAGGTGCTGTGATATCTGGAACATGCTGCTCTGGGGTTCAAGTTGCTCAAGTGTACAACGAGCATTTCTATTAAGATGTTTTTCACAGTGTGGGAAGGAACTCTTAGTCAGCAGGTATATTAGTTTTCTATTGTTGCTTTAACAACAAATCACCAAAATTGAGTCATTTAAAACACATTATCTGATGGGAGAAATGGGAAGCTAAGGTAAACCACTTTTTCCCCTTAGGAAATTAAGGTCCTGGTTGAATTCATTAGTATGATATTAAATACCTCGGGTTGCCTTTTTCTATACTTTATGTGAGATCCCTGATGGCACATATGGTATACCAGCTTATTGAACACAAGGTTGGAGGCTTAAGTCCACCCAGAGGTACCTTGGAAGAAAGGCCTGGCAATCCATGCTGGGCAGATCAGCCATTGGCAAATCAACAATGGAACATGCTTCTATTCAGGACACAAATGGGATTACCATCACTTGATTTGATGGCAATTGGTTTGGTTCTGGTTGTTAAAGAGAAGGAATCCAACTTGAAAAATGCTTAGTACCTTAACATCTTCCTAAAAAAGATTTTTATATTACTCGCCTCCCTGACACTATCACTGAAGACAAAATGGGTGCATCAACAGCTGTGGTGAAGAAAGCTGATGGTGTCTAGCTATCTATTAAAAGATATAGCATTTGGGGTCTTAAAGGCTTGTAGTTAAACAAATGACCATCTAGCAGGGAAGCAACAAAGCCCACATGGAAAAAGCACACCAGCCTGTGTGATCATGAGGTGTCAACAGGAAGAGGTATCAAGAGAAGTTCAAAAACAAGCAACCAAATCAATGTGAAGAGACATGGATGTAGTGGAGACCCAAAACCCACCTGTAAGATAATTGGACTCCCTCTCAGAAGGGCCACATGGGATGATAAATCCAGGGTGTAGTGTGGCACTGATTAAACACATAACTACCCGAGAAATGATGTACAAATGTGCTTTACACAATTGATGTGTGTATGGATTGGGATAAGTTGTATGAGCCCCTAATAAAATGTTAAAAAATAAAAAATAAACACATAACTACCCTCTAGTTCTTTAATATTTCCTCCCCTTATTATTATGACTTTTATTTGTTTTTCCTCATTAACCATGTTAGATTTAATATGTTCATTTGTATATTTAAGATTGTTTGGTACATGAAAGCCTAAATAGATAACCACTCAGAAACAGTAACAGGAGTAATGGTTCCCTCAGGGTACAGAAAGAGGTGGTGGTGGAGAGGGGGAAACGGAGCTGATAGCATTGATGACTGTATAACACCACTTAATGAGATTGAACAGAAGATTTGTATGTAAATGGATATATTGAATTGTGAGATTAAAAAAAACTATTATACAAAAAAAAAAGGTTCCTGAGGGTAGGGTTGGGGAGGAGGGGATAAAGGCTAGCTGATATCAAGGAGTCCAGGAAGAAAGAAAATGTTTTGAAACTGATTGTGGTAGCAATTTTACAATAGTGCTTGATGTGATTGAACTATGGAATGTTATATCTGTAAGAGCTCCCAATAAAATAAAAAATAAAGATTTCTATAATAGCTGCTTAATAACTCAAGCCTCCAACCTTTGAATAAGCTGGTATACCATAGGTACCACCCACGGATCTCACATATAGGACATAGAATACAAACAGTGGAACCCTGGTGGTATAGTGGGTTACATGTTGGCCTGCTAACCACAAAGTCAGCAGTTTGAAACCAACCAGCTACTCTGAGGGAAGATGAGAATTTCCACTACCAGATGGATTCATCTGGGAAACCCACAGGGGTAGTTCTACGTGGCCCGATAGGCTGGCTACGGGTCAGAATCGACTGATGGCAGCGAGCCTTTTCGATAATGTCGACATTTCTAACAGCTAGCAAAAAGTAACCAGTCCCATGGGAATTTGATAAGTTTCTGAGAGATTGTGATCACACAAAATAGGATATTTAGAAATATATTTTAATGCTTTGAAGGAACTGTGATCAGAATCACCACTTTTGTGTATATGTAAGACAGGGCACATTTGATCATATTGCTGAGGACTCCATTTATTTCTCATTATTGTAAGATAAACTTTGAACAAGAAAACTTTGTTTTTCTAATAAAAACATACTTCTTGTAAGATCACTGAGCTAGGAATTGTGTCACATAAAAAAATGACCAAACAGGTGAAAACATTAAATGTGAATACCCACACACTCACTTCCTAGATTCCTCCATTACATTTCACTTTGCCATGACACATTAGCTTTCTACCCAGCCATCAATTCATCTTAAAATACACTTAGTGCATTTATGTTTGAGTTGGAAGGAAAAGAAAAAAACCATGAGCTTCTGTATTTACTTTCGCATTCTAGTGAATACCTGTGTTAACAAAATGCTTTTGTGGGGGGAAGGGAAGGCTGCAGCATGGGCATTTCATGAAAACAAAACAGATTTTACAGTCTCAGAGACCAGAAACTCCAAGTGGGTGGGTAGGATTGCACTGGGGTACTAGAGCTATATTCCTTATGGAGATTCAGCTGCCTGTGTTGATTGCTTTTATTGGATTGTCCAGGTGAGCACCCCCCTCCCCTCAAAACCCAAACCAAACTCACTGTCAGTGAGTTGATGCTGACCCAGTGTCGCTATAGAGCAGTGTTTCTCCACCTGTGGGTCATGACTCTTCACAGGGGTTGCCTGATTCATATCAGTAGCAACAAAATGAGTTATGAAGTAGCAACGAAAATAATTATGGTTGGGGGACACAACATGAGGAACTGTATGAAAGAGTCGGGGCACTAGAAGGTTGAGAACCACTGCTATAGAGGGTTTATGAGGCTGGGTAAATCTTTACAGAAGCAGACAAACCCATCTTGCCACTGAGGAATGACTGGTGGGCTTGAACTGCCAAGGTTGTGATTAGTCCAAATCTTACCAGACAGCACCATTAGGGCTTGATTCTGACAAAAAACCCCAAAAAAACAAATTGGACTCACTGCCACAGAGTCCATTCTGACTCAGATTCTACATGGGTTTCCAAGACACGCTTTATGGGAGCAGACAGCATCAGCTTTCTCCCACGGGATGTCAGGTGGGTTTGAACTGCCAACCTTGTGGTTAATAGCCCAATATCCCTAACCCACAGTGCCACCAGGTGATCTTAACATTACAAGTATCTTGAAAGGACCCTTGGTGGTATAGCAGGGTGATGCACTGGGCTGCCAGCTCTCAGGTCCGCAGTTTAAACCCACCAGCTGCTCTGAAGTGAAGAGTCTATCTTTCTGTTCCCATCAAAATTGACAACTTCAGAAACTGGGGGCAGTTCTACCCTGTCCTATAGGGTTACCTTTAGGTTGTAATCGACATCGAGTTTGTAATAGGGTTGCTGTGAGTTGCAATCGACTCAATGGTAATGGAGGATATACTTATAAATAGGAGCATAACCACCAGGGGGAAATAGAGACATGTTTACTCACTACAAAAATCAAACCAACCCCCAAAAGCCCTTTGCCATTGAGCAATTCTCACAACAACCCTCTCCATAGTGCAGAGCTGCACTGCCTGTTTGGAGGCTATAAAAATCTTTATAGGAGCAGACCTCATCCTTGTCCTAGGGAGGCGCTAACAACCCCCTAGCAGTTGACCTTAATCAGTGTGCTGCCAGGCCCTTGTAGGAGTGGTGAGAGGGATTTCAGGGAATGTGCCTTTAGGTGCCCGACTCACTGGCAGTGCCAATGCCGTCAAGAAGGGGTTTTAAGGTAAAAACCCCAAACTGTTGCTGTTTTGTCAGTTCCAACCCCGTGACTCCATGTGTTCCACAGAGCTATCTTGGCCATCTATATGGGAAGATCACCAGGTCTTTGAATAGGTTAGTTAGATACAGGAAAGGCATCAGAAAACTAAAGACAGGAAGAAATTCAGTTATAAGCTACTTTTTATTTATGTTTACACAGCAAAGAACTGCCTAGAGGATTGTGAAGCCTTACTACATTCACTCTCAAATAAGCGGGGAGAAAAATCTTTAAATTCCATTGAAGTTTAATGCAAAATACATTTGATTTCCTTGTACTTTTTTTCCAACCCAGTTAAGGAGTTAGGGTTCTCTTCTTACGTAGATACAGGATGAGGCTTAGAGTCGCCACAGCACCCGTTAAAGCAGCCACAGCAAGCACCGCTTTAGAAGCAATGTCTTCGGAGGTCTTGTGCTCTTTCCAGCCCTCAAGATCTGGAGGGGAAGCAGACATCGGGATCTTAAAGCTATGTTTAATTGATAAGCTTACATGGCAGTTGTTGGAACCTTACAGATGGACGCTTTCTAGAGTAGGGAGTTAAGTTCTGGCCTCGAAGGACCTGAAGCTTTGAATAGGGTATTATAATCTTACCCTTGGCGTCATCCTCAGTCTCCTCGCTGCTGTTTCATTTCCCATTTGGCTTTGGACGATATGAAATCAGGTGGAGCTATTGTGGAAAGGACTTAAGACCCTAGTTCATTGTTTAACAGTCTGGTGTTAACAGCTATGGTATGCCATCTCGAATGAGGAACTTAATGCAGCTTCATTTTAGACTTAGAACTTGAAGTTATTTGACTAGCATGAAGATAGTTGGGGAAATGTTATCTACAGATTTGAGATAAGTTTGTCACTATCAAAGAAAAATGTAATGTATATATCTCTAAAATATTCTCATTTCTAGAAATGCATCCTGGATTTTATATGTAGGGGGAATTTTAGGATGATTCTATTGTGCCCTCGACAAGACTGAAGATAATCTAGGTGTTCATGACTGAAGATTAGGTAGAGGTAGGAGCCTGCAGGTCCATACAGATCTATAAAGATGGTTAAGATCAATGACAAAGGTCAGTTACAGCAATAGGTAGACTGTGGTCTCTTACTCCTCCAGAAACACTTAGCAGGAAAGACTTACAGAAAGTACTTGTGGAAAGAGACATGGTCTTTGTTTAAATTTACCATGAATAGGTTATCTATGCATAAAGCTTAAACTCTTAGCATACAAGGACCAAAAACTTGAGTCCAGGCTTTAAATCCATTACCTTCAAGAAGTGAAGGGCTGTCTGATAACAAGAGGATGGGTCCTGGGAGGCTTAATGTTTTTTCTTCCGTGGTGCTTGTGGCTGGAGACACAGAAGTGAGTTTACATCTGATTATCAAAAATGTTAAGAGGTATTCCTGTAGAATATGCTGCTCCTCTTAGTTTTTTGGGTTTTTTTCCCCCTACTATTGCAGGAAACACCATTCATCTTATTGGAAGAATGAGGCAAATTCACAGTAAGAATAGCAAAACAAGGGTAAAGCGGGGGCCACCTGGACTAAGGATAGTCATTTCTCAGCCAAGTCTGTGAGCCTGGGTTACAGCCCATGGGTAGAAACAGAAACCGGCCCTTAGGACCGATCACAAATCTGCTCATTTTAGACAGTTTAGTCTGCCTCACCCACGTGAGCTCTCAGGATCTTGGAAGGTAAATCAACAGTGGCTATCTATTAGATTCTGACTTGTGGCAACCCCATGCGTTACAAGAGTAAAACAATCCTCCATAGGGAGTTCAGAGCTGTGAGCTTTGGGAAGCAGTTTTCCAGGGTTTGTTCATTTGGGTTTTAAGTAGACTCTGATTGGGGTTCTTACCAACCTCTCAATTACTTGACAAAGCACTTCATTTGTGCCATCCGGGGTCTCTTCTAGCTAGTCTACACCCTTAAGGTCTTCAGTTCTGAATGAGATTGTCTTTGAGAGGTAAAAAAAAACACCAAAAAACTCAGTGTAAAGAATTGATATTTACCTCGCCTCTTCCTAGGTGACCCAGGGCAAGTCACAGAACACAGAGGGGAATCGGGAGAGAGTTTGTTGCAGATCAAGACACTGCAGTGGAAGTAGACCTGAAGATGGGAGGAGAGAGAAGTGGAATGAATGCATTCATCTTTCAACCCACCCCATATAACTTGTTAATCACTTACCAGGCTAGAGAATGCTTGGGTCCCTGAGACAAAGGTAAAGGTCTTCACATCAAACCTCTGATAGTGATGAGGAATCATCACTGAGGACTGAACATGATGGAAAGTGGTTTGGTAGTTATCCAAGTTATATTCACAGCTAGAAGGCACACAGCAAGGACGATAATTAGCCATATTCACCCAGTCTAATGTCTGTCCAAATTTAGTCCTAGGTAGATGTTCAGACTATTGCTACATTTTCTTTATTTGGTACATTACTTGTACCCCTTTCCTTTCGTTTCCTACCTTATCTTACTATAATGCAGAACACAATTTCGTGAATATTGTCGTATTTTTCTAAGAAACTGTACTGTAAGAACATGGCATAAATATTGGAAGAAGACACATTAACCTGTGAGATGCATGTGAATAGTCTGGTTGGACTGAAGTGCAAAGGACTTGAAGTATTTACTGATGAACGGTAAACTCAGCCTTTAATATGGATATTTCAATAACTGGACCAATAAACATTATCTCTGCTAAGCAGCAATCAGAAAGATCAAGTGATATATTACATTGGGTATATCTGCTGCTGAGAGCTTAGATGTTAAAAAGCAAAGATGTAACTTTGAAGACGACGGTGTGCCTGACCCAGTCACCTCAGATGCAAGCTGGGCACTGCATAAAGACTGCAGAATTGATGCCTCTAAATTAGTGTTGGAGAATCTCAAATTTAACCTGGTCTGCTAGAACAAATTTGATTTAGAACAGTTGGAACACTTAGAAGTCAATGTAGAAAGCTTTGCATGAGCGTTGTGCACATTATCAGGGAGGTCTAGTCTCTGGAAAAGATGATCATGCTTGGTAAAATAGAGGGTTATTTTAAAAAATGATGACCCTCCAGGAGATAGGAATAGCTGCAATGAAGGGCTCAAACAAGTTTGAGGACGGCATGGGACCAGGGCAGTATTTTGTTCTGCTGCACATGGGATCATGATTAACTGACAGTGACACTTAACTACATTAAATCACCATCAAGTCACATGTGTACTGAGCTACCAACTAAATACACCGAGGGCTAAAGATTTATTCCCATACTTAGTCTGCATAGAGAAGAACAGACTCAGTGGTAGCTTTCCAAAGACATCAAGAATTACAAGTTGTATATCTAGCACTTCAGAAAGCACTAGCTCAATTCTTTCTACTCATCTCAGCGTGTTGTGTCCTAAGCACAATTTGAGGCAGTTTATGTCAGGGGCAGAGTACCCCTGCCATTGTATCATCTTACATGATAGACTAGTATTTTGGGTGGGGAATGCTGTTAGATTAGGGCATAGGTTCCCAAACTGAATTGACTTACTTCCCTTTTTGCAGGCATTCAGAGACTTGTACTGTAGCCCATAATCCAGGATAAAATGTAGGTATCTGCCTTTGTAGCACTCCTGGATTATTTCAGTGTCTCAGGAGATTGTATTACTTTTTGAAACATTTAGAATAACCCAACTAGTCAATTGGGGTGGATTGTCATTTTTATGGTCACTTGAGCGAGCCTTGAGTGAGGTGAAGGAATGAGTTGTAGTAATGCAATGACTACACATGGCTCTTGAGGAGAAGTGTATATGGGAGTTAAGGGCTTAGCAATCAACTATAGCAACTTCAAGAAAGAACCCTTATCCAGCCATAGACCCCAGGGTAGGACACTACAGACAAGGTAAGGACAAACAGCCATGTACAAGTGCAAGTGCAGTCACAGCTTCAGAGTATTATAGTGTTTAGGGCTTTGATATCAGTATTCACACCCTAGCACCACCAGTTACTACTTCAGCCTGGTTGGGCCTACTTAAGGGGCAAGGAGAGTTTCTTCACAAAGTGGCATGGTTAATGTTTCTAATGAGGTTATAGGGTTTGAATACTGCCTGTAAAGTACATGGCACAATGTTAGACTCTGATGGTAGATGTTCAATAAGGTTAAGGAATAGAGATTAATTCTCTCCAAAGTTCCTTGGGGAGGATGATCCCCTTCCTTAAGTTTCAAGGGTAAGATTATAGGGAAAGCACAAGTGCCCCCAAGTAGAACAAGGTCTAGCTACCAAGAATCAAGGAGTAAAATCAGGGCTTTCTTAGAACTCCATTGCCACCCAAAAGGGTCTGTTATCTCTTGACTGATCTGTTTTGATTAGGTGGGTAACCTTGAATATAGAGAAGACCTTACCCATCCACGACAATATTCCACTGGGGGAGAGAGGCTGGGTCCATGGTGGTAGTTGCCCAACAGTCATCTAAGACTAGTTTGATGTTGGGGTCAGTCCTGTTCAGGACTGTTACTTCCATGTAAATTGGTTGGCGGAGGTATTTCACCAAAGGGTATTCGCGGTCCCCATAAGGTTGCTGGTAAGAGCTATCTGGAATGGAATGAAGACCCCCCACCCCCCATCAGTATTTAAGCAGTTGATGGACGCATCCTAGCAGCTCAAACACCATTATTATGCTAACATCAGAAAGTTCATTTTAGTGAAAAAGTTCCTCGAAAATTTTAGGGGGTGGGCAGTGTCTCACCTGGATAAGTTTGCAGGATCAAAGCCAGTGGACCTGGCTTCACTGAAGCCACTGGGGGAAGATGACTTTCAATGTTGCTATTTATAAGCATGTCATC